TAACATAATCTTATTGGAGCAAGGTAATTTTTTTTGTACCTCCGTAGCTTGCAACTTTCTACACGCATGAGACTTTGGAATGAAGTTATCTTGAGTCACTGATGCTCCAATTCTTTTTTTTTATCCTCTTCTGCTGTGGAAAAAATCTTTCTACAGAACAATATTCGGACATCGTAATAGGAAAAAAATTGAGAGAAAAAAGAGCTTCTTTGTTATACACTGATTTACTGACACGATCGTTAAATATTACCCTATATGTTCATGATTTGTCAGACAATCATTTTAAACTGTATATTTCACGATGCCTGGCATATTGATGAAAATACTTAACCTCTCCTATAAGATTTAAGTCCAAATCATTTGATTATGTTATGGTAAAGCTCTAACTCCCACGTACATCTGTTCTTCTGTTGCTTCTAATTTTTTAAAGAATGAAACCTTTCGCAGCATCATTATTTACAGAAGTTAAATTAAATCGAAAACATCCTTTACTGATTTCAATTATTTGTGCCATGATTTCTTGTTTCGTCTCTCTGTGTAGTATCAATTTATACCCTAGAATGCAGAAATAAATGTGCATCATCATCACCATCATCATCAGCGTTCCTTTGTGGCCCCTGGGGAGCAAAGGGCTGCAACCACGACAAGGCTCTAACACCGGATGGCAGGAAAAAAATGTGTATTTGCTATTTATTAAAAAGGGTTGTAGAATTATCTGTAAAAAAGACAAAAGTGTAGAGGCCCAATTCTCTTCATCAAGTCTACTCCATTTTATATTTGTTTATTTTAACATCACCAGCATTATCAAACATTTACGTCTTTTTATATTTCTTTGAGTTTCTAATGCTTGCTTTTGACTATGTAAAACATAAAGTTATTGTGTTTTTTTTTCTTGATAGCCCCTGACTGTGGGCACGAGAACGCTTTCAGATGCACCAACGGCCAGTGTATCCCATCTTTCTATGTATGTGATGGCCGACCACATTGTTACGACACAAGCGATGAAGACTGTGGTAAGCAAAGTTCCCTTTTGATTGGTGCAAGTGAAGTAGGGTTCAGCTTTTTCAGTGACCTCGGCATATGAAGGTATAGTATGGTCAGCACCAGGGGCGTAGCGACGGGGGGCGGGGGGTGCGGACCGCACCGGGTGACACCATTTAGGGGGGTGACACCAAGGCAAAAAATAGCAAAATATATAGAGAAAAACTTGAGGGGGGGGGGTGCAAATCGAAAGTTTGAGGGGGGGGGTGCAAATCGAAAATTTGTCCCCGGGAAGGGTCGCTACGCCTCTGAGGGGTGACACCTTTAAGTGCCGCACCGGGTGACACCCGACCTCGCTACGCCACTGGTCAGCACTATGCCCAGCCAACTTCACTCGCTCTAACTTGTTGAACTCAGAGACATTCAACGATATTGAGACTGACTTTAAACTACTTTCGGGTTACTAAAGGACGCTATACCATTCGACCCTGTCGTCCCATCTATAGTAAGCCTTTTTGTTTTGTTTTAACTAAACATTATCATAGACATAAATAAACTAGACATGGACATGGACCCTGATCAGGCCATATAGACATATAGGAGTATGGGCGTGTGGACTCGTATCGACGTGTAGCCGTGTAGCCTACCACGTAGACAGGAAGACATACAGACAAATAGGCGTAGATGTAGACAAAGACGTAGACATATCACACGAGAAGAAGAATTAAAGCAAGATTAGCTGTACTTGTACTGTATCATTGATTACTTTAGGGATGTTAGATGGTCGCGTTCAACAATCTATGTGATACACGCGACAGCTGTTTTATTAAGGGATTAATAAGGTGCGAGCTCATTCAGAGCAATTCGTTTGTTCTTTTTCGTGTAATGCTGGACGATATTTCCTTCAACACTATTCCGTATTACGTGGCTAGTTTTTTTTTTGGATTTTCTTCCACTGTATTTGTCCATCCAAAAACAAACAGCAACTTTTTGAGAGTTCGAACTCAGTGTTAAGTCCCTTACATGTCCCCTGCTTGTGTGTGTGTGTGTGTGTTGTGTGCTGAAACGACAGGTACCCTCCCTTTTGTGTATAGTTGTAGCCCTTGGTTGAGTGTGTTTACATGGAGCTAGAAGTGTTCACGTGAGGTGTGTCAGGTGACGGGTGTCAGAGCGTGTGCTAGTGTGTGAAGCAGTTAGTTGTAGTGTGGCTGTGGACGTGGAACGTGGTGTTGAGTATTGTTATTTATGTTGTATACCCCTTTGATCTTTTATTATTGTATTACTGCATATATATTAAATATCTTATTATTATTATTATTATAGAGTGTTAGTGTTATCTACTGTTGTAAACGTTGTATTTGTCTGTTGCTATGTATCTATATATATACCCCTAAACATTGAAGAACCCAACACTCAGGACTAATCAGTTTACCGGCCGCGAGCTTATTTGATCCGACCCCTATTTACAACTTGCAAATTGACGCAAGAAGAATACAGTATATCTTTTTTCGAACCTTTGATAAGTAGCACTACATCGAGTTGATCTGTTAAGGGGGGGAGGGGTCTCCTGCAGAGGGGGGGGGGGGACGGGGTTGGGCGTCCGCCCTTAGGAGACGCCAAAAGTGGTAGAAAAAATTAAAAGCTCTATTGTTCAAGTTTACTTTTATTGAAAAATATTTTTTTTACAGCACGTGACTGTAAGCAACCGAGACAGTTCAAGTGCGCCAATGGCAACTGTATCTCAAGACGTAGACTCTGTGATTCTGACGATGATTGTGAAGACCAAAGCGATGAAGATTATGATATGTGCAGTAAGCCTTACGTTATTGTTTTCAATCGCAAATCTCCAAACTTCACAGAATCTCCGAACTTCAAACATATACATTTATATAATGCTGGGGTTAATTAAACTGTAAAAAAAAACATTTCTGCCATGAAATATGGTGTTTAGATTCGTGGAACTTTTTTCGAAGTAGTAAGGCTTTAGGGCTAGTCCTTGCACAATTAGATTCAGTATATTCGTTACTGCATAAGTTGGTTGTACAGTGATGTAACACATACGATGGGTTACCAGTCAAATGGGATAATTTGTAATTTATTTGCCCCTGTGGGACCGCAACTGTTGATGTTTTATGCTCTCCTCTGAGCAATGTTCCAAGCGTTCCCATGTCATGTGACCTCTGGGTAGCTGTACCTGTGTCCGTGACATTCAAACCCCAGGCTACGGGATGACTAGGACCGTTCAGTTGCTTAACTTGGTTATGTAGACCTAATGAAGGGCTATATACTGTTCATGGATTTGACGTTAATGAATTAGCTGTATATGGATTTGCCGTATACGGATTTGCCGTATATGCAGTACAGTCAGGATCTATCAGCAAAAGCGTCATTGATCGTTTTATGTTATCTCTCAGGCTCAGCCCTAAAATACACTACACCTCAGTGTATGACATCACACCATTTACCTACTGAGGCAGTGTTGCAGTAGGGGTCAGCGTGGTCGAGTCGGTAAAGCTCATAGTTGCTAAAGCGAAAAGTCTCGAGTTCGAACCCTCGGGCAGATGAGGCTCGTTAGCTGGGGACAGCCACTCTTCTAGGAGAGATAACTCCAAAATGAAACAACTGCTGCCTTTTTGTTTTTTCTTTGTTGGACAAAGGCTATGGAAGCAAATCCAAAAAGAAAAGCAGGCTGAAATCGGAGTCAATGGCCTCAATGGCGCATAACAAGTTGACACGTATACTTAATTGTGATGGAGGCGTGGTCGAGTCAGCAAAAAGCTCATGGTTGATAATTAGAAAAAAAAGTATCTGACAGAAAAGGCTCGATCCCTTCCAACACTAAAAGTTGAGAACGAAGAAGAAGAAGGATCCAATTTAAGTATTTACAAATAGTGATAATTGTGTTTGTACAACCGTGATTACACAAAGCCTTTGTATTCTCTTTAAATAAACCTCACATTATTTTTTACTTACTTGGTTAACTTTCTTTTTATTCAGGGTTTTATTATTAGGATGGTGATGACGAAGATGACGTTGGCAATGATGAAGATCATAAGACGTATGAGAGACAGCATACTATGTATATGCTGCATCTTTAGTCAAAACCAGAATAATGTGTGTTTTTGTTCCAATGTATATCTTACTGTCCGATAATTAACGTGTGTTTTTCCAAAATATTTTGTGCTTTTGTTTTATGACTTGTTTTATTTTAAGTCGTAATTTTATATTTAAATGTTAGATGTTTTTTTTATTATAAATTGAAGAGATCCAATAAAAGCAATAATCATTCCCAGACAATCTAATAAATCCGACTTATAATCTTAGTTATCGAACTCACAGGAAAAGAAAAGAGCATTGCCATATGTTTGAATTTCACCAATAGCAAATCTAACAGCGGCTGGAACTATATTAGTCACTCCACTGACTGTTATTTCCTTCTTAGGACGGGATTTCCTCTAACACATTAAGTTATTTCTTGACATCAAGGCTCGTTGACTACGACCACATCCTGCTTTTCTTTCTAGATTTGCTTCCATTGCTTTTCATCATCCGAGAACAAACATCAATAAAGTAGCTATTTGATTTTGGTGTTGTTGTTTTTTTTTTTTTTGGCAATGATGGGTGTCACCAGTTGAGGTAGCTAAAGGTGTCACTTTACCCAATTCCAAAAATGTTGATGTCACCAAAGTAGTTTCACCACTCCACAGATGTTTGGTTTTCAAATCCAGCCATTTCATTTGAAGCAAACCAGCATCAATTCCAAATGGCTCAATGTTTAATTCGTTTGTTTTTGTGTTGAGAGGATCTACTATAAACATCAAAGTATACTTGCATTTGTTTTGAATTGCTCGAATCACTCAGGAATCCAACCTTCATTTTTTGTTTATTGTATGTAATGCTGTAGTAACTCATGTTAAAAGTAGCATTGTTATCATCGTGATATTTCTTTTTCAAATTTATCGAAAACAAGTAATTTATCGCTCTCTGTGTCTTCAACATAGGCAAGGCATAGGCTGGGTTTACCTTTCCTTGCAGTTTTACGTTTAGCTCTTTCAGTTTCTTCGTAATATCCACCATGAAGTTGAATGTTTCGATTCAGAATGGACAATTTAATAGAAAGAACATTGAAATAGGAAGTAATAAATATTCGAATTGAATAGCGAGTGTTTATTGTTTATATTTATTACTATATCATTCATCACTGAATGTTGCAGAACAATATTTTTAAGAATTTCGAAAATAAAATAATCTATATATATAATTCACTTCTGGGAGCCGTTAGAAAACAAGCTGCAAGCGCCTCCTTGCAGTCCCCTCTCTTTCTCTCTATCACTATAACTACCACCCAGTGGCGTAGCGAGGTCGGGTGTCACCCGGTGCGGCACTTAATGGTGTCACCCCCCAGAGGCATAGAGACCCTTCCCAGGGAAAAGCTTTCAAATTTTCGATTTGCACCCCCCCCCCCCCCTCAAACTTTCGATTTGCACCCCCCCCTCTATATATTTTGCTATTTTTTGCCTTGGTTTCACCCCCCTAAATGGTGTCACCCGGTGCGGTCCGCACCCCCCGCCCCCCCCCCCCTCGCTACGCCCCTGCTACCACCCCCACCCCCACATTGTCTGGTGAACTGTGGTCACGCTGTGTTTACAAAGCTAAATGTTTACAAATCGTAGAGCCGTAGAGCCGGGTTTCTATTAGGGGCAGATAATTTAGTTCGATTTTAAACTTACAGGCGGTAACTAAGAGGAGGCTGCTTTCACGGGGGGGGGGGGGGGTGTAGGGTCGGGGTTGGGGGAAAGGGGGGGGGGTAGTGTTTTAAAGCAAATATTTTCAGTGGCAGCATTGGTACTGTCGAATTCACAAATTATGAATTGCTGAAAAGTAGAAAATAAAACAACTAAATAGCGGCGTATGATGCGCTGCGGGTTGGCTCGTTATTAATATTTGTGCATGGATCTGAAGAGCCGCATCTTGACATCAAAAGAGCCGCATACGGCTCGCGAGCCGCAGGTTGCCGACCCCTGCGGCTACACCTTTGTAATACTTGCTCAAATTCGAAATTTTACTTACATGTGTGGATTAATTGTAGAATGTTCTAATCAATATTATATCCTACATTAGGCCTACTTGTTACACAGAAGATTTATTAACTGTAATTTGCAATTGACGAAGTGGACGGCCATTTTAGGTAGGTTTTTATGTGACGTAGTGGACGGCCATTATAGCCAGGTTCACTAGTGACGTAATAGACGGCCGTCATTGCTAGTTTTAACAGACGGCCGATATTTCTAGTCTACAAAGTGCCGTAATGGACGGCCTTTACAATTATGTTCACTGTAGGATTAGTGAACAGCTGTTATTGCTATTCTAACAAGTGGCGAAATGGATGGCCGTTATAACTATTTTATCAAGTGTTGTAATAAATAACTGCTATTCCCAGGTTATCAAGTAAATAAAAACCAAACCATCTAAGAAATTAGAGAAGTATTAAACAAGTGATTTATGAGTTTCAATATGTTTCATAACACCGGTTGGCTTATATGGCTTATAGCCACATTGGTAATGAGCAAGGGAGCATTAAATATAAACCAGTTTATTGTTAGAAAGAACGTTATGTTAAGCTATTCGTGTAATTAAAGCAATAGGATTTAGAGTCTTATTGAGCTTTACATACAACTAAATGAGTTTAATTACGTTTGATTAAGTACAGACACAAATAGTTTGTTTGGCGAATAGAATATTCATACCTCATTCGACTGATTCAACAGCAAATTCGAACACACACACATACCGCACTCACGCACCTACGCGCTCAGGCACACTTTCAATAAAAAAAAAAGCACACTTGCAATCAAACACAAACACATTTGCAATCAAACACAAACACAATTGCAATCAAACACAGACACACCAGCAATCAAACACAAATACACTTGCAATTAAACACAAATACAATCAAACACAAACACACTTGCAATCAAACACAAACACACTTGCAATCAAACACAAATACAACCGAACACACATCCTCAGCCAGTGAGGGATTAAAAAGGGGGAGAGGGCTAATAAAACAGCAGACTGGAGACCTAATTATTTTTGGGCCCCACAATTTTTTTACACACTGTTATAAATTAAATTTGTATAATATATTTTGTTTATACTAGTTAAATGGTCATGGAAAGACAAAAACAATTTTCCACTACCTCTAGCTGTAAATGTCGTCCACTACCTCACTAATTAATCTAGCTGTAACGGCCGTCCACTACCTCACTAATTAATCTAGCTGTAACGGCCGTGTTCACCTCACTAATTAATCTAGCTGTAACGGCCGTGTTCACCTCACTAATTAATCTAGCTGTAACGGCCGTGTTCACCTCACTAATTAATCTAGATGTAACGGCCGTGTTCACCTCACTAATTAATCTAGCTGTAACGGCCGTGTTCACCTCAATAATTAATCTACCTGTAACGGCCGTGTTCACCTCACTAATTAATCCACCTGTAACGGCCGTGTTCACCTCACTAATTAATCTAGCTGTAACGACCGTCCACTACCTCACTAATTAATCTAGCTGTAACGGCCGTGTTCACCTCACTAATTAATCTAGCTGTAACGGCCGTGTTCACCTCACTAATTAATCTAGCTGTAACGGCCGTGTTCACCTCACTAATTAATCTAGCTGTAACGGCCGTGTTCACCTCACTAATTAATCTAGCTGTAACGACCGTCCACTACCTCACTAATTAATCTAGCTGTAACGGCCGTGTTCACCTCACTAATTAATCTAGCTGTAACGGCCGTGTTCACCTCACTAATTAATCTAGCTGTAACGGCCGTGTTCACCTCACTAATTAATCTACCTGTAACGGCCGTCCACTACCTCACTAATTAATCTACCTGTAACGGTCGTGTTCACCTCACTAATTAATCTAGCTGTAACGGCCGTGTTCACCTAACTAATTAATCTAGCTGTAACGGCCGTGTTCACTTCACTAATTAATCTACCTGTAACGGCCGTGTTCACCTCACTAATTAATCTAGCTGTAACGGCCGTGTTCACCTCACTAATTAATCTAGCTGTAACGGCCGTGTTCACCTCACTAATTAATCTAGCTGTAACGGCCGTGTTCACCTCACTAATTAATCTACCTGTAACGGCCGTGTTCACTTCACTAATTAATCTAGCTGTAAAGGCCGTCCACTACCTCACTAATTAATCTAGCTGTAACGGCCGTGTTCACTTCACTAATTAATCTACCTGAAATGGCCGTGTTCACCTCACTAATTAATCTAGCTGTATCTGCCGTGTTGACCTCAATAATTAATCTAGCTGTAACGGCCGTGTTCACCTCACTAATTAATCTAGCTGTAACGGCCGTGTTCACCTCACTAATTAATCTACCTGTAACGGCCGTGTTTACCTCACTAATTAATCTACCTGTAACGGCCGTGTTCACCTCACTAATTAATCTACCTGTAATGGCCGTGTTCACCTCACTAATTAATCTACCTGTAACGGCCGTGTTCACCTCACTAATTAATCTAGATGTAACGGCCGTGTTCACCTCACTAATTAATCTACCTGTAACGGCCGTCCACTACCTCACTAATTAATCTAGCTGTAACGGCCGTGTTCACCTCACTAATTAATCTAGCTGTAACGGCCGTCCACTACCTCACTAATCAATCTAGCTGTAACGGCCGTGTTCAATTCACAAATTAATCTAGCTGTAACGGCCGTGTTGACCTCACTAATTAATCTACCTGTAACGGCCAGTTCACCTCACTAATTAATCTACCTGTAATGGCCGTGTTCACCTCACTAATTAATCTAGCTGTAACGGCCGTCCACTACCTCACTAATCAATCTAGCTGTAACGGCCGTGTTCACTTCACTAATTAATCTACCTGTAACGGCCGTGTTCACCTCACTAATTAATCCACCTGTAACGGCCGTGTTCACCTCACTAATTAATCTACCTGTAATGGCCGTGTTCACCTCACTAATAAATCTAGCTGTAACGACCGTGTTCACTTCACTAATTAATCTACCTGTAATGGCCGTGTTCACCTAACTAATTAATCTAGCTGTAACGGCCGTGTTCACCTCACTAATTAATCTACCTGTAACGGCCGTGTTCACCTCACTAATTAATCTACCTGTAACGGCCGTGTTCACCTCACTAATTAATCTAGATGTAACGGCCGTGTTCACCTCGCTAATTAATCTACCTGTAACGGCCGTCAACTACCTCACTAATTAATCTACCTGTAATGGCCGTGTTCACCTCACTAATTAATCTAACTGTAATGGCCGTGTTCACCTCACTAATTAATACACCTGTAACGGTCGTGTTCACCTCACTAATTAATCTACCTGTAACGGCCGTGTTCACCTCACTAATTAATCTAGCTGTAACGGCCGTGTTCACCTCACTAATTAATCTAGTTGTAACGGCCGTGTTCACCTCACTAATTAATCTACCTTTAATGGCCGTGTTCACCTCACTAATTAATCTAGCTGTAATGGCCGTGTTCACCTCACTAATTAATCTACCTGTAATGGCC